TCCAGATTCCCACTATGGAACCAAAGGACTGCGCAAAGTGATCCATGAATCACCAACGACGGGAGCCAAAACCTGCTTTACGTTCTGTTACGCGGCTGGGAACAACAACGGCACCTCCGTGGAGGATGGACAAATCCCAGAGATCATCTTCTACACATAGTGCCACTGCCAGCCCGCCCTGGACTCGACTCTTCCCCGTCGCCTCCCAAACTAAATCTCTGGCTGAGTTTGACCACACCAATTGGAGCCACACTAGCCAAAGGTCACGGTGAAATCATTTCAAAGCTCATGTTCTGCCTTGTGCTAGTGCTGCTGCTGCTCTCAGGTGCCAGGCCAGCTGGTGTGCCAGTGCAGGCCAGCTGCTGTGCCAGTGCAGCCCAGCTGGTGTCCCAGTACCATTTGTAGGTTGTCTGTGGCTTGTTGTTTTTCACCTCCTGATTAACCCTATCTAACAGCGTGCGTTTTTTGGACTGTAATGAATGTAGATGCTTTTCCACCGGTCAGAAACAAGGTAATGAGTGGCTCTGGTTGTGGTTTCACTTGCCATGAGGAGATGGTCCTACAGACAGACTCGGTCAGGGCTGGGTGGCCTCTGCTCTGCTCCAGCTCAGCAGTCCAGGCCAGACTGCAGGGCTTGGCCAGCCTGTGCCCAGCACCTTCCCTCCCTCCCAGCAGCCTCAGCACACAGAGCCACCTTCAAGAGTCATGGAAAGTGGCCTTTTCCCTGAGGCTTTGCTGTTCCAGCACTACACAGGCTCAGAGACCTCAAAGCTGAGCTCCTCTGGAGGGACCGAGGCATTTTCCTGCTCTTCTCACCCGATCTGTGACAATCTTCACCTCGGGCAGTTGGTGGCAGCGAGGTGACCTCCCTGCAGAGTGGTCAGGGGCAGCAGCCTGGCGGGGCAGGTCCTGCTGCACTCTTGAGTCCCCGTGGTGCTGCTTCCACACCCCTGGCACGTCCCAAGTGCTGGTGATGCTCAGCTCACCCCTGGGCAGCCCCAGCTCTGTTGTTACTGCTCGTTATCCTTTGCAGGGTGCCAGGGTTTGTCAGTTGAAGCAGAAGGGCACCTGCCTTACCTGTTCCAGGGCATTCCTGCAGTTTCCATGCACGTTTCCATGTGTTTCCCTCTGTTCCTGTGCATTGCTGCCTCAGCCCTGCTGCCCTGATGGGATCAGGAAGAGAGGCTGGATGTGCACCTGCCTGTTACCTATAATGCAGCAGATGGACGAGGATTTACCAAATGGTTCAGGAAAATGTGGAATATTCTGCATGCTGGTGTGTGTTTGCACGCTGCCTGTTGGCCAGGCACAGGAGGGAGATCACAAACATCACCTGTTGAGCTGTGGAGCTCGGTGACCTTGAAGATACCCCTTGTTCTGGGCCAGCTGCTTTTTCCCGTGGCTGTCACAGAGGGTGGCTGCTCCTGAGCTGCCTGACCAGCCCCACCCTCACTGCCCACGAGTGAAGACCACGAGACTCTTCCTCCCCTCTTCTGCAGAGGAAGCTGGAGTTCAGCTCAGCCTGGCAGAAAGACTGGAGTCACCAGAGTCTGTGTGGGACTGGCTGGGGTGGTGCTGCCTCAGGGCCCCTTCTCTGATTCCTGCTCCAGCCACGGAGCCCTTGCCACTCTCTGGGCAGCTGCTGCCACTGGATTTCACTGCTAGAAGTTGAAACCTGGCTGTCCTTGGCTGGAGCTTCTCCTCCTCCTCCTCCCACTGCCCCAGCCAGGATCTTGGGGCTGTGCTGGCTGGAGTCTGCTCCTCAGCCATGCAGCAGCAGCCTGGGAGTGCCCTGCATCTCCTCACCAGTAGCTGTTGGAGATGCCCAGAGTGTGTTCCGTGCTCCAGGGAGATGGTGTGAGCTGTGTATTGTCAGCCTGCTTCCAGGTGGGATGGTTCTAATATGGCCAGTACTAAAAAAATAGAAAAAAATCCCAACCCTGGCTCCATGACCTGGTGACTGAACCCGACTCTGTGCAATGCAAATGCAAACGTTGTGAGATGGACTCACAGCCCAGCTCTGTGTCCGTCGGGCTGTCCGTGACTGTGCTTGCTCCTGTCACCACCCCTCTCCCGAAGGTGGTGGGAATGTCACTGCTGGCAGCCAGGCCCGGTGCTGGGGCTGCACCTTCCCCAGGGGCTCTGATCTGGGTTCTGCACCTCGGGGCGTCCACTACAGGTGGAAATAGTGGAATAATTGGAATTTGACAGAGGCAGAGCTGTGCACTTGGCTCTGAGAAGAGCAGGGCTGGGGCCCTGCCCAGCTGCAGGGGGAGCCTCCCGCTGGCTGTTCCCTGGAAGTTCTGTTCTCTTTATTATTTTGTTACGCAAATTCTCGTCCCAAATCCCACCCTCCTGCCCTCCCTGTGTGGGGCAGGTCTGGCAGCTTGTCCTGTCACAGAGGGAGAGGAGTCAAACTCTGAACTACACCCGAGCAATTTCTGTTCTTTGGCTTTTCTGCAGTTTGATGCAATTCTGGCTTTTGTAGATAGATGAATGTAATTCCTTGTTGGACATGCCTGTTCCCAGAAGTATGAGCCATTCTGTTGTACCACGTCACCTTCCGAGCAGAGCGGGCCCGGCCCGGCTCCTGTGCTATTTGATGAATGTATCCGATGCTCTCGTCCCGTGTTCACACTCTGCTTTTTGGCCAGCTTTGTGATTTGTAAATAGGAAAACAATAAAGACATTGAGGTTGTCTTTACGAAGTTTCTTTGTGACTGGAGGAGAATGATGGCCACTGGAATGGTGGAGGGGAAATCTGGGCCAAGCTGGCTCCTGGCCCATATCCCCAGGTGAGGGTGTGGGGTCCTCAGTGTCCCATCCATGGAGTGTGGGATGAGCCAGATCTCGGGAATCCTCAAGCCTGGCAATCACCACTGGGGAGTCCAGACCCTCAAGGTATGAGGTGGTGGTAGGAGGCCAGCAGGATGGCACAGGGTGGGCACACTCTGGTCTGGGTGCTGTCATTTTATGACTGAATTTCTTGAACTTGAATTGGAGATTTTTGACAATTAAATGCACGAAAAAGCTGCTTCAGCCTTGGCAGGTTCAGGCCTGGAGGGGAAAGCAGATCCTCTGGCCTGTGATCCCCAGCACGGAGAGGCTGTGGGAGCAGGGATGAGAGCTGGGCTCTGCTCCTGTGCCCAGCACAGCTCCCACGGGCACTCAGCTCTGACCCTGCGGGGTCAGCAGGGCCCTTTGCCCGCGGGAGCCGTGGGGCCCTGGTGAACGTGAGCCCCTGGGCCAGGGGCAGCTTCCCTGAGGGGAGCCCAGCCCGGCCCGGTGCTGGAGCAGGGAATCACCATCACCTTCCTCACTCACACCTGCTGGGAGCCTGGGAGGGTGCCCAGAGCCATCGGCTGTGCTGCTGTTCCCCTGACCTGTCACCCCGAGATTTTCCTCCTGCTGCTCCAGGAAAGGCTCCTGAGCAGGGAGCCCCTGCAAGGGGCTGAGGCTGCTCCCACCCACTGCTGAGGGAGCCTCAAACAAAAAGGGGGTGTTTGGGCAATGTCCTCACCCTTGGGAGCCACACAGTGAAGCACAGAAGAATATGTTGGGTTTTAAAGATTTTTTTTTTATTTTATTTTTTTTGTTTTTATTAAAAAAAAGCCCCTAAATTCTATGGCTTCCAGGAAGCATCAGAGAAATTGAAATGCCGTATCTGTACACTTGGTTTTAAAGCAGTAACTAAACTCGCAATGGAACAAACGCTCTCACGTACAATCGCAGTATTTGGACTCCTCGCTGGAAGGACAGAGGGTCCCGGGCTCGGGCCCCGGCAGCCGAGGGTGTGCGTTCGGAGCCGGGCACTCCGGGCACACCCTCGGGGCCGCCTTCCCTCCCCCTCCGCGGCTCCTCTTCGGCCTCTGCCGGGGCTGCTCTGAGCCGAGGCGCTGACAAGGGACCACTTCCAGTGAAAATTTTAAGGCGATTTTTAAAATTGGTTTGTTCGCCTCGCTGGGGACACGAGGTCAAACGTTGCACGTCCCCTTCCCGCCGTGGCCAGGGACGCAGCAGCAGCTGGGGCCGCAGCCCGGACAAGCCAAAGCCGGGGTCAATCCCGAATTTAGGATGAAGAGGGGCCGTGGGGAGGGCACGGCTCCGTGGGAGACCCCACGCCCCCCCAGCCCCTCCACAATCCGGATCTCCAGCCCTCCGAGATGGTCAGTTTGGACAAATGTTTCAAAGCGGCCACAGATGGTCCCATCCCTCCCCCGCCCCCCCCAGCACAGCCTCAGCCCCTTCTCTTGGGGCAGAACAACAGGGTTTTGGTAAAGATAAGTGTGTGTCCCCCCCCAGTGTCACGATCAATACACACGACAGCGCACGGGGTCAGTCAGTGGGGAGCTGCAGTGCCCCGGGGGTGGCGAGGAACACGGGGGTGCGGGGGTGTCCGTGTGTCAGTTCCAAAAGCTGCATTCCCCCAGCCCGGGAGCGTCCCACAGTGGGGGGATGCAAAATCCCCCCACGGTGGGGATTCCACGCTGGCAGAGCCGCTCCAGCCCGCTGCCCTTCACCGCCCGGCCCGGCCCCCGGGAGCAGCCGCGGGGCCTCGGGGGCTCAGGCTGTAAAACCACGAGGCCGATCAAGCCCTGCCCACACCTACAGCTGTTGTGGAAACATCCAGCCCCAAGACATGGCAGCACCAGAGACGAGGCTGCTTTGCTTCCCCTCCCTGCTTTGCCACCGCCATTCATGGGTCCCTTTGGTCTCGGCCGTCCCTGTCCCTGTGTCCCCCAGCCCCTGGGAGTCTCGGACCTGCTCTCGGCGGGACCGGACGGCGCCTGTATTGCTCGCAAAAGTGCATCGTAAATGAACTGTAAACGCGTTTCCTCTCCCGCCCCCGCGCCCCCGGCTCTCCCCGCCCGGGCCGGGCCGGAGCCCGACGCTCGCCGCCGGCGGGACCGAGCGGGACCCGGCGGGGACGCGGGGCGGGGCCGGAAGGAAGAGCAGAATTCGGTAACACTGAAGATGACGGTCAAAGACTGACGACTCAGCACTCTGCACCGAGACTCACTTTAAATTAACTTAAGAGACAAAGAAGCAACAGAAAAAAAAATATTCCTCCTTAGCCCACTGCTCTTGAAATTGTCTTCGTCTTCTTCTGACAGCGACGGGTCAGAGTCTGTAGTTGATCCCCATTTCGGCCTGGTTATAAACTCAAAGCAAGTGACGCCGTGGGTTTTTCTCTTTTTCTTTTTTTTTTTCTGTTTGACGGACGCAGGAACTTCAGCGAAGTTGGGCTTGGTTCGAGTAAACGGCCACGAGTGGCGGAGGAAAGGACAAGCAGTTTGGGGAGGCCCCGCTCCCCACCTGCGCGTGGGGCGCTGGGGGAGCCCGTCCGGCCCGGCCCCGGCCCCGTCCAGCCCGAGGGGCCGCCGGCTCCGCGGGGAGATCCAGCCGCGGCCAGAGGAGAGGAGCCATCGCTCGCCGCTCCGCCCGGCCCCGGCAGCTCACTTGCGACGCTTGGTGGTTTTCCTCTTCCTTCTCTTGAAGAAACAGCAGCACCTGGGGACAGAGGGGACCCGTCAGCCGCGGGGCCACGGCATGGAAGGCGCAGCAGCCGCGGGGTCAGGGAGGACAGAAACTCCTCGGTGCCTTGGTGAGCCCCACGCGGGCAGAGCTGCTCCACCGAGTACAGCGCCCGGTGCATGGCAGGGGCTGGACTGGGAACACAACAGCCACCAAAAGTGACACCTGCCACAGCAAATGGCACCGAGGGCCAGGCAGGGACTCCAGAGGAGTCCCAGATCCATCCGTGCAGGATGCATCTGTGCAGGAGCCTTGGGCAAGGTGAGATGGGAAGGGCCGGGGTGCTGGTGGCCCTGCAGGAACACCCCTTACAGGTGCCAGGGGACAGCTGGGCTGCTGCTCCCCGAGGGCACTGGACAAGGCATCCTGGGGCAGCTGCTGACCCCTCCTCCAGCCCAGCACTGGCGAGGGGCAGCAGGGCTGGGGCCTTACTTTGTATCGTCTGTCACCTCCACCTCGGTGGGGGCTGTGATGGGGGCGTTCGAATGTCCTGCCGTCGGGTCATCTGTGTTCAGCTCTCCATTGGTGGAGCTCATCACCTGGGGGGAGACGAGTGTCAGCAGGGGCAGCCTGGGGGTCTGCAGCCCTTCCCCTCCTGGCAGGCACAGGAGCCACCCAGGAGACCACCCAGCTATGCCCGGGAGCACCGAGGTGCCCTTCGTGGCAGGACGGTGCCCTCACCCAGAGCGCAGTGTTCGGCCTTGGTGCTGAGCCCTCCCCAAGAGCCCCAGTGCACAGAGAGCTCTGCGCCCTCAGAATGCCCCTGGAAGGATCCCAGCTCCTGGGAGCCCCTGCACCAGGAGAGGGGCTTGCTGGCAGCCAGCTCCACTGTGGGTGAGAGACAGGGCTTGGGAAAGGTGACAGCTCCAAGGAGCCCTTCCCACAGCTGAGCATCTGGACACGACTTCTGCTTTCCAGCACCAAGACTCAGCCCAGTGCCTACCCTGAGGGCTCAGGCGTCCCTGAGCTCCTGCCCACTCACCAGGGCAGCAGGATCAGCCACAGTGCCGGGGCCAGGAGGACATCCAAGGCAACTGGGAGGTGCCTGAACCGCCATCCTGGGCCTGCTGCCCACAGGCAAAGCCAGGAGCTCCCTGGGGATGCACAGGCCAAACACTCTCCAAGCTGCTCGGCCCCGGCGAGGACCCTTGGCCTTCCCCAGCCCCTTGGAGGAGCTGCCACCCGACAGCCAGTGCCCAGCCAGCAGAGCCGTGTCAGGCTCCAGCCCCTGACACCAGCACAGAGACCCCTGCGCATCACCCCGCAGCGCCCGACCCAGGCGGAGCACGGTGGGAGGGTTTGCAGAGCAGGAGTGGGAGGAGGAAGGGGACAGGAGGAGCGAGGCAGAGAATGAGCTGGGCCCTCAGAGTGCCCGGCCCCACGGCCTGCCTGGCACCACGGAGTGCCCGGCCCCGTGATGGCAACAGCGGGAGCTGTGCCCAGGCCTGGGGCCGAGCAGCAGCAGAGTCGCCGTGGAGCAGCAGGAACGAGCAGGAGCGGCGGGGACGGAAGCAGAGACAGAGGAAGCGGCGCAGGCCCAGCCAGGGGGACCCGGCATGGATGTCCCACCATCCATGCGGGAGGGACCCCCAGGCCAAGGCAGGGCTGAGCGGCAGCGGCAGGAGGCGGCGAGCACGGGGCCGACGGCGCCAGCACAGGGCCGAGGCAGGGCCACGGCGGGGGACACGGCCAAGGAGTGCCCGGGAAGGGAGAAGCAGGGCTTGGAGCCAGGGCTCCAGTCAAGGAGGCACAGGGAAGTCCCTGCTCAGAAGAGCAGCACTGGGGGCAGAGCGATGCCCACGCAGCTGCCATGCTGCAGTGTGCTATCCATCCATCCATCCATGCATCCATCCCTTCATCCATCCATCATCCATCCATCCGTCATCAGTCATCCATCCATCATCCATCCATTCATCCATCCATCTGTCCATCCTTCCATCCTTCAATTTGAACATTTTCCATCCATCCATCCATCCCTCCCTCCATCCATCCATCCATCCATCCATCCATCATCTCCAGCTGCCCTCTAATCCCCCTGGCAGCACCACGGGAGCCCAGCAGCCCGTGGGAAGCAGCCCCAGCCTCGCCTGCGAGCCGTGAGCATCCCGTGGCACCGCAGGGACAGGCAGGACGTGCTGCAGCCGGGGCAGGACCCCGGGCTGCGCGGTCCCGGGGCGGGGGAGCGGGGCTGATCCCGGCTCCGCGGGCGGCCACGAGGCCCAGGGTGGCTCCGCTCCCTCCCGCGCCCGCCCCTGCCCCAGGCGCGTGGTTTCGTGGTTTCGTGTACCTGGACGGACCCCCCGAGCCTGCCGGCTGCCAGGTGAGCTCCCAAAGGCTCCTCGGCAGGCTGCCCACCGGCCTGAGGATCCCACAACTCCGTCCCCTCGGGCGGCTGCTCGCGACAGGCAGGAGGAACAGAATGAAAAGAAACAAAAGAAAAGAGGGAGAATGGGGAAGAGAAGGGAGAAGTGGAGGGAAGAGGTGGGAAGAGTGGCAAAGGGAGTCGAGAAAATAAGACATGCAAAAGCAAAAACATGACCGGAGCAGCTCGAGTTGCTGATTGCGGAGGGCACCCGTGCAGCACCGTCCCGGCGGCTCCCAGAGCGGTCCCTGCGGTGACAGTGGGGGTCTGTGTCCCCCTGCCACCTACACACACACCCCCACGGCCAGCCCCACGCAGGGCCACCCCACGGAGCAGGGCCAGCTCCAGCAGGGCTGCTGGCCGTGTTTGGGAGCGGGCTGGGAGCAGAGCTGCAGCTGCAGCCAGGCCCAGGTGACGCCGCATCCCCAGGACGCCGCGGCGCGTGGCAGGGCCCGTGTGGCACGAGCTGGGCCAAACCCTCCCCTGGTGAGCACGGCACGGCCCCACAGCTGCAGGGACATCCTGTGTCCCCTGGCTGGACGTTGCTCCCATGCTCCAGGAGCTCTGTGCTTTGCTCTTGCCCCTGCTCTGGACAAGGGATGTCCAGCATGGCATTCTCCTGGTGCTGCAGGCACAGAGCAGACCTTACTGGGAGTGAGTTCCCAGAAATGAGCCAGAGGTGATTTGAACATGTTCCCCCCTCCCTAAAGAAGCTCTGCCAGTGAGAGCAGGGGCTGTGCCAGGCTCCCTTTGCTGGGCAGGAGCAGCCTGGGGAGGAGAGAGCGTTGCACCCCCTGCTCCAGCCCCTTTGCAGGTGCTCTGCCCCCAAGAAGGTTTGGGAGGATGAGGGTTTGTACAGGACTGCTGGAAAACACGTGAGGTTTGCTCTTGGTGGCAGCAGTGCCAGAGATACGTGTCCTGCACCAGGGCAGGACAGGCCACAGCACTGGAGCAGTTCTGAGCAGCCTGGCCCCTGTCCCACACTGCCCGACCCCTGCCCCGGGCTGGGCTCCCTGTGCCCTGCCCGCTCCCAGAACCAAGGCAGCCCCAGCATGGGGCAAAATGCTGCCAAGCTGCACCACCAATCCTGCCCTCCCCTGTCCCATGTCACTGTCCCATCGATGGAAGGGCATCACAAGCAGAGCAGTGAGTCACCCCACGGGGACAGTGTCCTTAGCAGAGGTGGCTCAGCCTGCACCAAGCCCTCCCCCACACCCCAGGCTGGACCCTGCCCCTCACCAGCTGATGTCCAGGCCTGGCACCCCCCAGTCATTCCACAGCCCCCACAGTGCTTCCTCCCTCTTCTGCCGGGCCACAGAACATTGCCCTGGGCCCCTGGCACGCCACAGACCCAGAGCTGTGGGAAGGAACTCCTCCCAGAGACAGCACTGAGGGAAAACCATGTTACAGCCCCTGCCAACATCCCTGCTGGGCTCCATGTCCCTGGAGCTGCAGCCCGAGCTGCCCAGCCCCGTGCCCCAGCCAGGCCCTGCCATTGCTCACCTGGTGTTTGGTGTGTGGCTGTGCTTTGTCTCTGTTCGGGGGCTGCACCTGCACCTCGCTGTGCATCGTGCCAATGGGGGTGGGCTGGGGGCACAAAGGACAATGTCAGTGCAGCACCGAGCCCTCCCAACACCCCGCAGACAGATCCAACCTCTGGCCAAACATCCAAAACCCCCCAGAACCGGGGCCTGATCACTGTCCCTACCCCTGCCCCAGCAGTGCCAGGCTTGGTATCAGGCTGCAGTGAGCCCGAGGAATGCACCATGGCAGAAAGTGAGGTGCCAGCTTGGCTGCTGGGGTTCCCTTTGCTCCAAGAGCCTCAAATTCCCGTGTCACAGCCCTGGAGTTGGTGACTGGTGAGGAGGTGGAGCTGGTCCCCTGGACAGTGTGTGGCAGGGATGGCTGAGAGCCGTCTCCTCCCTGGCTGCTGCCCCTGCTGCCTGGGGTGCCTCACCCTCTGCCCCCAGGCCCTGAGCTCTCACCAGGGGTTTCCCTGCCCAGTCGTATTCGTAGTCGAACACGTAACCGTTCCTCTCGAACAAGTCTGTGAAGAGCTTCCTCAGGTAGTCGTAGTCGGGCTTCTCGAAGAAATCCAGGCGCCGCACGTAGCGCAGGTAGGTGGCCATCTCCTCTGCGGGGACACGGGGGCTCAGGGGACAGCGCACAGGGGGCTCGGGGCTGGGGGCTGGGCTGGGCACTGCTCTCACCTGGGAAGTTCTCACAGAGCACCTCCACCGGGGTGGCTCTTTTGGTGTCACCGATCTTCTGGTACCTCTCCTTTAGTGTGTCGGCCTGGTGGGGACAAGGGGGGTCAGCACAGTCAGGCACTGCCCTGGGCTGTCACACTGTGTATGATTTCTTGGACTCCCTTTCTCAAGTAACTCCCTCCCCGGGCAGGTCTGGAGGACAAACCCCAGGGTTTCCAGGACAGCTACTGTGAGAGCAGCTGGGGGGACACAGCAGCTGCTCAGCACTGCAAGGGCCTGGCATGGAGCTCAGAGCTGGTGGGGTGCTAGCCCTCCAACACCCCAGGGGCCAAACCTTCCCCCTCCCCAGGCAGAGCCACACCCACAGGAAGCCATGCCCAGGGGCAGCAGGAGCTGGCAGTTACCTTGAGGCCTTGCCAAGGAAGGCTCCCACGGAGGAAGTACATAAACATGTGCCCTAATGCTTCCAGGTCGTCCCTGCGGCTTTGTTCTGCACGGAGAAAGAGACGTGGGTCAGTTCCCACTACAGCTCCAGATGCTGCAGCACCCCAAGTGTCCTGCCGGCACCCTGACGAGCAGGAGAGGCAGCTTGTCCCCAGCCCCACCTCTGCACCCCTGCCCTGCAGTCCCTCCCTTCAGCCACAGGCAGGGCTGGCTTGCCGTGCCCACACACCTTTCCCCAGGTGGGTGTTGATGCTCATGTAACGCGCTGTCCCTGTCAGGCTCTTGTGCTCTCGGTAGGGGATGTGTTTTTTGGTCTCGGGGTCAATATACTCTTTGGCCAGGCCAAAATCGATGATGTGGATGGTGTGCTGCCGCTTGCTGCCCGGCCGCCCCACCAGGAAGTTCTCTGGCTTGACATCTCTGTAGATCAGGCTTTTGGTGTGGACGTACTCCATCCGTGTGATCTGGGGCAGAAGGAGGTGTCAGTGCCAGGGCAGACACCCACCCTGTGTCCTGCAGGCTCCTGCCCCGGGCCCTGCTCCCCTCAGCTGGCCCCAGCCCCAAGCACGGACACATCAGCTCCTTCCCACCATGGGACACAGCCCCAGGCCAGCTGCACCCTGGGCACACACTGAGGTGCTCTGGGCTCACAGAGATTCTTGTCTGGCTCAGAGGGGCTGTGAAGGGGTGAAGAGCTCTCCCTCAGCAGGGAGCGGGGAGGTATGGGACAGCCAGGCTGGGTTGTGCCAGCATCTTCCACCCATTCCCTGTGGGATGCCCATGCTGCCTACCCACGGTGCCCACACACCCCCTGCTCCCCAGGGCTGCAGGGCACCCGTGCAGGGTGCCAGGGCAGCCGTGCAGGGCTGCAGGGGAGCCGTGCAAGGCTGCATGGGAGCCGTGCAGGGCTGCATGGGAGCTGTGCAGGGCTGCAGGGGAGCCGTGCAAGGCTGCATGGGAACCGTGCAGGGCTGCATGGGAGCTGTGCAGGGGCTGCACTCACCAGCTGGATCGCGATCATCAGGACGGTCTTGAGCGTGAAGGTCCGATCACACAGATCAAAGAGATCTTCCAGGCTGGGTCCGAGCAGCTCCAACACCATGGCATTGTACTTCCCACAGGGACCAAAGTAGTAAACCTGAGGAATTCCTTCTGCAAGAGATGGAGCAGGGGCTGTGCAGGGCTGCAGCAGGGCCACGCTGTCACTGCCATGCCAAACAGGGACAGGGGATTCAGAGGGGGAATGTCCCTGCACTGCCCTCCCTGCTCAGCCAGCCTGGCTCTGCTCGTGGCAGCAGGGGGAAGGAGGTAGCTCCATCTGCATCCCTGACCCTGCTGTGGGGGTGGTGGGGGGAAAGAACCAAATCAAAAGAGATCAAAGATGAGATGAGGCATCTGTGTAAAACCAGCCTCTCCCTGCGGAGCAGATGGGCAGGAGCTCAAGCTGGGGGTGAAGTTGCAGAGTCACATTTAGGGAAAGCCTCTCTCCCAGCAGTGCCCCTGGCAGGCAGCTCCCCAGGGCAGCTCAGCCCAGCCCTGTACCTGCATTGCCGAGCTGTTTGTAGAACCGATACTCCAGGTGCAGCTGGGGGGCCCGGGATTTTATGGGTTCCTTGGAGGAGAGAAAGGAGAACAGTTAAGTAGGAAGCAGGATGTTCAAGGGGTCTGGGTGTCAGCATCTTTCACATGCTGGCAGAAGCTGGACTGAGAGCATTTGGGGTTGGGAACAACTGGTATAAAATGGAGATGAAGCCTCAGGGGATGATGAGAGAAAATCAGCCCATATGGGAGCCAGATCATCTCATCCAGAGAGAGCAAAACATTAATGGGGTCAGGTACCAGTGGGGCCACCCTCTCTGCTGCTGGCACAGGCTGAGCACAGCACAGGCCTCGGTGAGGGCTGGGAGAAGCACGGCTCAGCTCTTCCCTGCCCAGACCTGGATCACCCCTCCTGCAGTGATGGTGTTTCCAGACTGCCCTCAATTCCCAGTGGGAACGGAGCTCCCTGACAGCCCCTCAGCCACCACATCATCACATCCCAACCCAACACCACGGGAGAAAGGAGAGAAGCCTCCTTCCCAATGGCTGGAACATCCCCCACCCCACCATGGAGGAACTCCCTGGTTTGACAGCTACTCACCAATTTGATAGCTACGTATTCATTTGTGTAGAGATTCTTCCCTGCGGGCAGAGACACAAAAAAGAGATGAAAAGCAGTCCCTGCATCACCCCCACCACACATCCACCGCTGTCCCTGAGGGCTCCTGGGCTCAAAAACATTCTGAACAGGTTCTGCTGCTCCCACAACACCTGAAGGGGCCTCAAGGCATGAGCGGGAGCAGAACCCACTGTGGGGAGTTGCAACATGCCTGCTAATTATCCCCAGGTGGGGATGTGGATTCCTCTGGCATGGGGAGGCTCCTGGGGGCTGGAGCCAAGGCTGATGGGAGGGGGCAGCAGCAGGACGTGACTGGGCAAGGCAGGGACAAGGCTGAGACCTGGTGCTTCTCCCAGCCCCACAGGGAGAGGGGGCTAAGGAGGTGTGGTATTCACACAGAGGGATGGCCAGGGTAGGGGGACACTGAGGTTTTTTGGCCAGTAGGACCCTGCAAAGGGTGGCAGGGAGGAGGGACACCCGGGAGCACTGGCACAGCTGGCAGTGGTCTGAGGGCACCACAGGCTGGTGGAAATCTGTCCCCAGTGGCTGGGGTCACTTCTGGGAATGGCACGTGCTTGTGTGTAGTGTGTGTGAATCAGCCTCATCCCTGGGGATGCTCCTGCCTGCCCAAGGGCACAGGGGAAGCCAGGAGCAGATCCATGGCATGGCCCAGGCTGTACGAGGAGCTGAAGGCTGCAGGAAGAGCCCAGGGGAGTGAAGGAGCAGCTGTGGCACCCAGCACCTCGTACAGGACCTCCCAGGAGGGCTCCACACCTGCACAGGACTTTTCACATCATCACCACAGGAAGGCTGAGCTCAGGGTGCCTCCACATCTCCGCAAAACCAGGGGGCTGAGGAAAAGGGGGCACACCTGGGAAGCAGCACACAACCTCTGCCCAGGCCCATAAAGGCCCAGATCAAAGGTTTGCAGGAAGAGTTCTGAGCACTCCCTGTGCCAGAGCCTGCAGGAGCCCAGGCAGGTGGGGGTGAAGGGCAGCAGACTCCAGATCCCGGCGATCCCACTGTATCTGATGGAGCTGCATCTGTCTCCTGGGATTTTCTCCAAGCAATTTGCTTAGGGAACAAGCTCCTCCTGGCGTAAGATTTCATCTGCTCTGACTGCTGCTCTCCACCTGAAGCAGCAATAAATCCTGGCCGGTGACATCAGAGCCAGCTGCTGAGCGCCACAGTCGGCGGCAGGATTACGGGAAGAGGGATGAATGGGAGATATTAATGGAGCAGCTCCTCCCAGGGATGGGCTCTGCAGCCAAGGAGGGGCTCAGTCCTGCTGCCTTCCTGACCCTCTCCCATCCCAGGGGACCTCTGCCAAGCCACTTTGTCTGCTGCTTCTGCATAAAGCAAATCCCTTCACAGCGATTAGGGAGGAAGGGATTTGGGAGGGAAGGAGGAACGTCTGGTGAACACAGCGTGTGCCAGATCCAGGGGGTTTGTCCCATCACGCACTGACATTTCCTGGGGAGCAGGTGGGACGCCCCCAGGCCTGTGCCTGGCTTCACAGTGCCATACAGTTCAGTCCAAAACAATTACTGCTGCCTTCAGGGCAGCAACATGGGATCAGAAAACTCACAGCTGGATTTTCCCTGAGGTCAGGCAGGATTTGAAGGGGGAAAAACATAACATGGCAGGAAAAATGCCAGAGAGACACTGCAAAAGGGACTCAGCAGGGAGGGAGAAGGGATGGAGGCAGGAGAATCCCCAGCAGTGGCATCTCTCCTGTCCTCACCACGCAGTGGTGGCTCACTGGCACAGAAAGCTACCAGCAACAAAGCTCTGGAGCTGGCAGCATTCTCCCAGCCCAAAAATGAGTCCAAATAATTTGGCACTCCCCTGGGTTCACCCCTACCTTGGGGGGCTTGGACACACCTGATGGACAAGCTGGGGAGCAGAGACTGGTCAAATCACCACCCTCTGCTTCCCCTTTCTGAATTAAAAAAGGTGCAAATAGCAGAACTGGCCTGTCATGAGATTAAGAAACCAAGAGAAAAGAAAAAGCGAAACAGCAAGGAGGGAGGATTCCTTCCATGCCGGGGAACTCCCCACTCCAGCTCCTGGAGCCTCTGCTCTGCCCCGGTGTTCACAAGGGGGCAACTTTGACACCCAAAATGTGCCAGAGCCCAGGGAGTGCCGAGGAGGACTGGAGCAGGCAGGACCTGCAGCACAAAAGGTGCTTTTGAAAGGAAATAAAAGAGCAAAGTGGTGAGATGGGAGGCAGAAAGCAAATATTAGCATTGCAGGGGCCTTTGCCCGGCTCGGTGCTGGAGGTGCCTCCAAGCCCAGCTGGCAGCAGCTGCAGGATGCAGTGTGTGGGACCAGAACGGCCCAAGGCAGGAGCAGGCAGCCAGGCCTGGGGCTGGTGTGCTGGCTGTGCTGGAGCCAGACCTGGCTCTCTCTGCTCTCCCCTCCCCAGGGATTTGGCAGCAGCACCAGCACCTGCTCCTGCACGTCAGCACAGCCGGGAGGAGCCCGGCGCAGAGCTGGGTCCCCATCCAAGCAGCTCAGAACCATGGGATCACAGAATTATTAAGGTGGGAAAAGACCCTTCAGATCAGCACTCTGATCATCAGCCAGCAGCACCACCATATTCACACTGGCCCATGTCCCCAGGTCCCACATTCTCAAATTTTTGAACGCTTCTGGGCTGGTGACCCCACTCCTACCCTGGGCAGTCTGTTCCAATGCTTCCCAACCCTTTCTGTGAAGAAATGTTCCCAATAGCCAATCTAAACCTCCCCTGGCCCAGCCTGAGGCTGTTCCCTCTCCTCCTGTCCCTGTTCCCTGGAGCAGATCCCGACCATCCCTGGCTGTCCCCTCCTGTCAGGAGTTGTGCAGAGCCACAGGGTCCCCCCTGAGCTTCCTTTTCTCCAGGCTGAGCCCCTTCCCAGCTCCCTCAGCGTCTCCTGGTGCTCCAGCCCCTTCCCCAGCCCCATTCCTGTCTCTGGACACACTCCAGCCCCTCGCTGTGAGGAGAAAAGCAAGCACTAAGGCTGCCCCCTGCCTGTGGCACAGCACAGAGCTGTGCCTGGGCACTGGGATGGGAATTTGGCTTCCCAGAGCTGGGAATGCAGTGGAGGAACAGGGGATGGGGCAGCTGCACACAAAGGCAGCCAGGCCCAGCCCTGCCAGCACTGCAGCTCCAGTGACAGTGGCTGCACCAGGCCAAGCAACGACAGCTCTGTGGAATGCTGGGCTTTAACAGCATCAGAAGAAAAATGTTATTTCAGAGCTTGACCTTCTCTAAAGGAAGCTCTGAGTAAGCAGAAGGCAAAGCAAGTCTGAGCCTTCAGCAAGGGAGGCAGGAGAGCAGGAATTGTGTGGGTTCCTCTCTCCCAAAGCCTCCAAAGTCACCCCTGTGCCACCTCTGGCACGTGGTGGGTCTGTGGCTCTGACCTCTGGGAGGTGGCCGAGCCCTTGGCCACACTGCAGGTGCTCACAGGGAGATCTCTGCAGAGCCCAAGACAAGAAGGGTGTCATGAGCAGGGCACTGAGCCCAGGCACTTTTTCAGAAGTCACTTTTTGTGGCCCCAGGTAACTCCCTGGGAGGTCCTGGGAGGCTGCTGGACAGGCCTGAGAGCCACAGCTCAGGAGAGCTTGGGAATGTCCCCAGCACCTGCACATGACCCTTCAGCTGGGCCATGGCCCTGGCCAGCTGCAGTAGTGAGCTGCTCCTGGCTCACACACTGCACACAGACTCACCCCCTGTGCTCTTCCCTCCAAAATCCCGAGTTTACATTAAAGGATAATTAATTTCCAGCTGTTAATTTTCATTTTGAAGGAAAACTGCTGCTGTGGCTCCAAGCTGCCAGCAACAATGCATACAGCAGGCTGGGGGAAAGGGGTGGGCACTGAGAAGCTGCAAAAGCTGCTGGAAGAACAGAAGCAGCAGCTGCTGCCAGGTCCCCCATCCTTCCCTGCACCCTGCTCTAGGCTGAGGCTGCCCTGGGACAGCCCCATGGCACAGCCTGGCAGGAGCACCAGCCTTGGGCCTGGCTCAGGAAGGGGCCCTCAGGAAGGGTGCCAGGACTAAGGGCAATTCCTGGCTCTGAGGCAGCCCTGCACCAGGGAAGGATCTGCACAGCACCCAGGTGCTTTGGGCTCAGTTTTGACCTTTCTGCTCAGTATCTGGGTTTTCCTCCTCTCCCCCTACCCCAGCCCATCCCAAGCACTCCTGAGTAGCTGCTAAGAGGAACCTGCTCCAACAAACCCTCTCTGTGAGTGTGCTGGTCCTACTCTTGGGGCACAGAGAGCTGGCAGGGCTGCAGCTCAGCTGTGCCCAGTGCCAGGGCACACGAGCCACCAGCCACACTCTGGTCACCCACTGCCATCAGCATCCTGCTGCCTTGTGTTTCAGAGGGCAGCATGCCACCCTGGCTGGCTGTGGGCAGCACGTGGGCAGGGGGAGCTCAGGGGGCTGCAGGCAGGAGGCACTACCCTGGGATGCTGCTGGAAAGCCCCAGGAGGAATTTGCCTGGTGCTGGACCCCAGCTGGAGGCTGGCAGGGGGAAAGGTGAGCACTCACCAGCTCAGGGTGAAGCTCCAGGACATAACAAGGTAACAGGACCCAGCACTTGCACAACATAAACCTTCCCCTCTGTGCCAGAGGGCTGGGGCAACCACCCTGCTCCAGCTCCCAGCCCAGCTCTCCAGTCATGCTGGTCCAGTGCGGAACTGGCTGGCAGCACTGCCAGACTGGGACTGGCACCACGTCCCTGCATTGCCCGGGATGCCAAGGCCAGCAGGGACAAGGAGAAGCAAGATCCAAATGCACAGCCCTGGCAGCCACAACTCCTGCCCACGTCATTCCCCTTCTGGTTTCCCACACATGCCTTATGCCAATGGTTTTTTAATATTTCATCTTTAAACAGATCACTCCTACATGGGTGGACATTTGTCTCTACCGGGGGCAGCTGAGCTGAAGTACCCTAAGGACAGGTCACCACGTGCCCCTCGGTGTGGTGGAGAAACAGGGCAAAGTGGTACCTTTTTGGGGAAGACAGTGTCCCCTTCCTCCCTCCCCACCACTGGGAGCTGGGGGAGTCACCTCCAGGTACATTTTTTCAAGATCTTGTGCCCTTTGTTGTGAGAGGAAAAAGGCCAAAGAAGATCTGGGAGCTTTTAAATACTGAGCTGCAGTTTGGCCTCTAAAGCCTTGAGGACTGAATTCTCTATTCCCGGGGAAAGCTGAGTGCCCAGCAAGAGGTGGGGAAGATCCCTGCTCATGCCACCACTTCACAGCAGGAGCCCTCTGGTCCCTTCCCATTCATCTGCAGTTGGAGGAATCCCTAAATCCTGAAAGCATTCCTGAGCCCTGATGCAGTTCGAAGGCACACCTAAGGAAGAGAGATGTGATTTTAGGAGAGAAGCCACATAGCTGTGGCTTCCACTGCCATGATGGGATCTCGTGCTCAGGCCTGTTATGGCCAGGCACTGCAGGGTGTGACAGAGCAAAAAAGCCACGTGAAGGGACTGGAAGCTTCTCTTGCTGGTGGCAAGGACAAATTCTCACTGTGAGAATCGACCACTGTGGAGCCCTGGAGCGAGAGCTCGCTGCTTGTCCCTGCAGCCACGAGCAAACCAAGCCCAACTGCTCCCAGGCCCCTGCAGCAACCTCACTGTCAGTTTGACAGACATTCCTCAGATCCATCTGAGACTCGTGTCCCCTTGCTGCTGCCCCTGGAAAATGAGGGGGAGGCCAAGGCAGGGGGGGTCGCACTGACCCTCAGCACAGCAACACAGCCCCAGCCTCCTGCAGGGATCCAGCTCACCCAGAAACACAGATCCATCGTGGAATGCTCAGTGCTAAGCAAGGAAAAGGAGGTGCAAGGACACAGGTGGACCCTGCACAGCTCAGGGCTCTCTGCCCACTGGCCCAGCAGGGAGGCACTGGCAGCAGGAGTGTCCAGATCTACCCGGGGAACTGAAAGGAGCAGCTGGTGTGGTAAAATCCTCTCCTTCCACAAGGCCTGGGTCTGGAGGAAGACTCAGAGCTCTTCGTGACAGCAGGAGAGCCAGCTGAACAGGGGAACTGCTTGGCTGGATTTAACCAGAGCGTTTCCCCAGCTCTGCAATTAAGCGGCGATCCCGCCGGGAAGTGCGGGGATGGGACGGGCGAGCCTGGCACCAGCCAGTCTGTCAGGCCGGGAAGAGCTGACATTAACTCCCCACACTGGGAGCTGGGGACTGACCTCAGCCCAGCCAGGGCTGCCACGGCTCCTCCCCAGGCCCACGGTCAGGGCAGGTTTAGCTCAGAGCTCGGTTTGAGAGGGCGCTGCTTAAAATACCACGGAGCAGTAAGGGCTGTGGCTGTCACAGGCTCTGGGGACTGCCTCTCTTCCCTCTTCCCAGAGCACAAGCCCCTTCCCAAAGCACTCACAGCCAAGCTGGCAGGGCCTCCACCCACACATTCCTGGAGACATCCAGACTGTGCTGCTGGCACAGAGGTGCCTGGCCCTGCCAGACCACTCCCAGCTGCCTGATGCCAAGCAAAGGGTTAACAGCTTGCTGAAAGTCTCTTGGGACATTCCCAGTCCTGGGAGAGGAGCAACCTCCCCACCCTCCAAACAGGAGTTTGCTTGAGGAGTTTCCTGATAAACTTGGTTCAAAATGGAAAGTGACTATGGAAGACGCTTAAGTTTTATTCCTTTCACTGACCTGTACAGAATTTCAGGGGAGTCTCTCAAACAGCCAGTTTCAACAAGTGAAGAATTTACCCAGGATAAAACCAGGATTCTCCTCTCTAGATGTTTGTCCCAGCAGAGTGAACGTCCCTTAGACCCCCATGCTCCATCCCCTGTCCTGAGGCACAGCGAGAGGGCAGCACCCCGAGCACAAGTGGGGTGAGATTTGATCAGTACAGTGGCATCTCCTGAATCCCTCCTCACTCAGTGTTCCTGGATTTGGGGGGCACCCAGAACTCTATGGCCATTTACCACCATTTACCACAGACAGATCCAGCCTGTAGTGTTTTCCCTGGCAGACCCAGAGGAGATGGGACAGGAGGAGATGGGAAACACCTCTGCAATCAGTCCTTTGTGCTGGGATGGGCCTTGGTAGATCAAGCACAGCGTGAAGGGATGAAGGAAGTGGAACCTCTGTGACAGAACAAGAGCTGCCTGCAAGGGGCAATGCTTCGACTCTGTGTGGCCAGTCAGCAACCCAGTGCCCACGGCCACAGCCTGTGCCAGCTCCTCCTGCTGCAGGAGGAGGATGCCAGGGCAATCCTGGCAGGAGTAGGTTCAGTGAGGACAGAGATGAATGACCCTTCTCACCTAGACGGAGCTCCCCGAAATTGCCGCATCCGATCTTCTTGCCGACACGGAAGTTGGGACCCACCATTAAGACTCCCGAGTTGGTTCCAGCACCCCGGCCTCCATGACCACTCCTTCCTCCACCTGTCTTGGACATTCTTTTACCTTCCTCCAGCTCCCCTTTCCCTCCTCTCTTATCAAAATCCATAAGTTTGTGATACCCCGGCCTCTCCACGGTTACGCTGCTGCCATACAAATCCCAGAGCTGCCGAAAATGGAAGGGTGAGGAGGAAAGAAGCAGGGTTCCTCTTGGTTAATACACCATCCCGGTGAGCGGTGGGAGGGCGGGGTCTGGAGAAGGAGGGGTAAGAGGCCGTCCACGGGTGCTGGGCTACTGAAATGTTAGTGCTTCCCAAGGTCCCGCCGGGACTGTCATCATCGCTGGTCACAGGGAGTTCTTTGGTGGAGAGAACATCCTGCAGACAGGGTCCTCCCAGCGCAGCTCCTCGCTGTCCCAGCTGTGCAAAAGGAGAGGCAGAAAATCAGTATGGGAAGGCAGAGGACAACAGAGAGCTGTGGGCTCTGCGTTCCTCAAGAGTCCCTCCAGCACCTTCCCTGCAGACAGATAATTCCCAAAGCAATGACAGTGCTGCAGTTGAGGGGTGGGAGAAGCTGGGATAAACATCAGGTCCCAAAGTGCCCCATGCCTGAGATGTTGGTTTAAATAAACAAACAAATGAATTTCAAAAAAAGCTTGGTCAGCCAGAGGTGAAATGGCTGATGAGTGTCTTCATGCTGGAGCCAGTCAAGAGTGATGTGGGGACAAAACTGTCCCCACGGGGAAGGGCTGTGGCAGCTTCTAGAAGCACTCAGAGGCACCAGCCAGGAACTCTGAGAGACCCCAAGAGCAGAGGACACATGGGAACCCAGCATTATGGGCACACCATGCCAGGCATGGGGCTGCCCATGGAGTGAAAATGATTTCACCTGGCTGGGAGAGTCCCTGTGATCCAGGGGCAGGGGAGTGGAGTTGGAGCACCTCCCACTCCAGCAGCAGTCTCTGCTGTGGTGGGTCAGGATCCTGTGCCAGCAGCCCAGGACAGGGTTCCTGAGGAACAGCCACACTCAGGGCACCCACCACAGCCCACCTGGGCTAAGGGAAAACACCCACTTGGCAAACAGGAACGTACTAACATCCCACTGCCTCCTCCTCTGCTCTCATCAGCCAGCCTTGATTTTAATTGCAAAGCTGGGAGCGAGGCCCCTTGGCTGCAGCCCGGGGCAGGGCTGTGACACTGGCTAGAGCAAAAGATGCTCGTGGCAGCTTGTTTGCTCAGGGTGCAGCACCTTGCCTGCCTCCTGTGCTCCCAGTGAGGCTGCTGGAAAGCCCCGTGGTGCTGGTGGGGTTATCTGGGCTCCCCTCAGCTCCCATAAACAGGTAGCAATCAGCTCAGCCCCCTGAAGCAGGGAGCTCCATCTCATGTGCACAGCCCTGCTCATGGCAGGGCTGGATGGGGTGACCTTTAAAGGTCCCTCCAACCCAAACTATTCCATGATTCCACAACACTGGCTCCATACACATCCCTGTGCAGCTGCCTGTCCTCATGTGGGTACAACAGCCCAACATCAGGGCCAACCAAAGCCTTGCTTCCTTCTGGACACAAGACTGGGATGAAAAGAACCAAGAACCTGCTCTGTGCTCAAGGAACCAGGTGCCCAAGAGGGAACTGCATTCTCCCTCTCTCCAGCACTCCACCAGGGTGGGACTCCCCTGCACTGGGGAAGGTCAGCTGGGTTCCTCCTCGCAGGGGTGCCCGTGTGGGAGGCAGGAAGGACAGCCAGGAAGCTGAACATGGACACAGGGGGTCAAGCAGGCTCCAGGCACACACTGGGAGGGCACAAGAGAGACCCACACCTCCATTTCCCCCCCTGCTCTGGTTTTGCTCCCAGCTTGAGACCCTTGCCAACCTCCTACCCCTCCTCTCCCTGCTCCTCTCCTGTGACACACCTGAAAGCTCCCAAGAGCCCCCAGTGCCACAGACTCCTGCTGACCCGTGGGTTATCCAAGCAAACCTCCTCCTCCAGCTCCAGGAAATGAACACACTGTGAGCTCTGATGCTTGGCCAAACCCCATAAAACTTTTTATTGGCTCTCAATAGCTATTAATAACAAAAAAAAAAAACTTCTCAGGCTCAAGGGTACACAGAGGGAAATGTGGGAGCTCTAAGAGCAACCTGGGGAAAAAGACACCAAAGCCAGAGCTCAGCAGGGGGAAGGACTGGCTGTGCAAGGGTCCAGGGCCAGGACAGCCCCCCTCCTGACACCAAATCCTCACTCTCCACAGAATCCTGGCACACTGCCACTGCTCTTCAGGAGGCACCAGAGCTGTTTTCAAAGGCACAGAGTGCTGGGGTGCCACTTGTGGAACCCACTGGTTCAAGCACAGGAGAGTAAGGCTTTCATGCATCATGGGAGCTCCTTCTTGCTCCCACAGGCTCTAGCCTCCATCCAACACCTTGGAGCATCCCTAGAGCACAGTAGCCTGGCCCTCCGAAGTCACCCCCAGCACACCAACAACCGGGGGCCATCCACCCAGCACACCTCAGCCAAGGGAAACTGAGGCACAGGGAGCCTTCCAGCTCTCCCAGAGCTGGGCAGCCACGGGCTGGCTTCTGCCCTGGTGCTCCCTTCCCCCAGCAGTGTCCGTGCCAGCAGGAAGCGGGGTGGGAGCGGCAGGAGCAGGGCTTCCCTGCGCTTTGTTCTGCCCCAGCCCCGAGCACGCAGGGCCCACACGTGACATCCTGCTCGTTCTTGGCTCCCCCGATGATTTCCGCTCCGGGTTCAGCACATGGTGCTGCCCTCCCGACCTCCTCAGGACACCAGAGCCATTCCCCCACGGCCTCCCAGCTCGCAGAGCGGGCGGCTCTCGCCTGGCGCTTTGGGAGCTGCTTTCCCTGGACACGGCTCCAGCCACACGCTGGGAAAGGGGAGCAGCTGGTGATGCACGGGCCCTGCTGCAGCTCCATAACCTGTTTTCCTTCTGAATCAGACCTTTATGCTCAGTCCCAGGGGATTCCAGGCCCAGACTGTTTGCACAGACTCGGGCGGCCGACAGCCAGAGCTCAGGGAGCTCCAGCCCCAGAGCTTGGGATTATTTTCTTTGAAGAGTTATGGGCCAGCCTCTGCAAGGGAATTTCAGACAATGAAGTGAGGCAGAAGGGAAAAATTAAATCCTGTTTCCTGTGAGCACAGGGAGACTGTGCTGCCCTTTCCCAGCCCAGACAAACGCAAGGAGAACAGCATAACTCTGTCCTGCCTGCCCAGCCTCAGGAGCTGCTCTCCTGGAGGGGCCCAGCTCCAAACTCCAATTTCGGGCATCTGGGTCGGATTCACACCCAGCGAGGCCACAGCCCAGCCCCCCATGCTGGGACTGCCATGCTGCAATTCCCCGTTTCCCAAGCTGGGCAGTCAGAGCAGCAGGAAATCCCTGAACCAAATCCATGTGAGTCAGGCCAGGGGTAGTGATGCTCCCTCACACTCTGCCCACAGCCTGCCCTGTGGATGAGCCAAGGGCTGGGAGGAATTGATTTTCTCATCCCAGGAGTGCCAAGGAGTCCACAGTGGCTCCCTGGACCTCGGGACAAAAGCAGGACCCACCTCTGTGCAGTGTCAGGGATTGCTCAGGTTTTCCACCCTGTGCCACAAAGAGATCACTGGCCTTTACAATTGAGAACAACCTAATTAGAAACAGAAACTTTTGGTAAAATCCCAGGACTCCCACTGCTGCAGAGCAAAAACCCCCTGTGTTTGTTAGAACACAGCAGCCTTTGGACAGGCAACAGGGACCCAGACCTGACCCATCCTCCCCACGCAGCAGCACCATGGGGGAAGATTCCCTGTATAAAACTGATTTTACAACATTCCATTTTTCACAATGTTCCATTTTGCACAGGAATCCTCTCCCAAAAGGTCACAGCGAGGCAATCAGCCTCAGGAAAGCACCTTCTAGGCTGGATTTGTTGGCCTGGAATCAAATCTGATGCAAGATGAGACTAAGAAAACTTGTTTCTCTTTGGGAGGGAGTGGAATAAATAAAGAAAAAAAAGAGAATTGTCCTGAAATTTGGCAGAAGAAATTCCAAAGCAAGCTGTGGTCTTAAAGCAAATAAGCAGTGCCCTGTGGTGTTTGCAGTGCCAGTGTTCCAAACCAGGGATCCTGGAAGGGAAACAAGCTGCAGGCAAGTGCAAGTGCCTCAGCCACCCCCAAAACAGAACCTCAGAAGCACTGAAAGTGCCACGAAAACGGGGCAAGCCCACACACCCTCTGATTCCCAAAGAGGGAGTTCACAGTGCTTTTGTTGAAACATTGGGTCCTTTTTCTTTACCATCTGGTTTTAAGCAGGTCAGAGCTGCTCCAGTCACATTTACAAGCTTTTCCCTGCAGATGTAAGGGTGAGAAAAGGGGAATTGGGGTTGGGGGGAGTTGTTTTTTTCCTTAGAACAAGAAAAGCTGCAGTTCTAGTGCTACCCCTTGTCTCTGTGACCTGGACCAAAATATCAAGGCTCGGGAAGTTCCTGCCCACATTTGCAAGTATAAGATGCTGAGGAGTTGTATTTTTAAGAATTTCTTTCCTGTAGAATGAAACCCTGTGGCTGCCGAGAAGGCACTTGTACAAACCATCTGGGGCACATTGTTCTCAGCCCTTTATATGAACACACACACCATGTTCCTGGCCAAAAGAGGTTACAGCTAAATGGGGCAAAACAAAGGAGGGGAAGAAGAGGGAAAAAATAGCAGCCTGGAGCAGGGAAGTGGCTGGTGAAGGTCAGGGAGCAGGTCCATGGTGCTGCTTGGAACAGGGCCCAGGTGTCCTGGGAGCAGCCATGCCCTGGGTGCTGCTCCTTGAGCCCCACCAGCCTTTGGGATGGTTCTTGGAGCTGGTTTCCCCATGTACTCTTCACTCTGTGAGCAGAAGGGAAACACAGCTGCATCCAGATGAAAGAGAAAGGAAAGCTTCTTGAGAGCACACAGAGAAAAGCCCTTGACACTCTGCAGCTCCAAGTACAGATCACTGCCAATTAAAGGCTAAAAATAATCACAAATACCCCAATGTCCCAAAGGATGACCCATCAGCTGGCTGCCAGTGCAAAAATCCAGACCAAAAAGCAACCAGTGGCCTTACACAGCTGAAACCAAATCCCAATAAATTCTAAAAGTTAGGAGCCTGATGTTACAGGAAGATCAAAAGTCTTAAAACAAAGCAAAGTCTTAAAACATCTTTAAGAGTGAGCTACAGACAGTCCCAAATGATGTCTGCAAGGGTTTGTTGTTAAACACATGTTCCAGCCTGCAGAGCTGCAGCCAGCCTTGCTCGTGATGGAGCAGGGAAAGCTGTGCCACACAGAGGTGTCCCAAAATATGGGGGCATGGAGACCCTCAGCAGGCTTCCCACGGGAGCCCTGCAATGGGTACAGCCAAGCTCCCAGGGTTGGGTCACATCAAGTTTCTCATCCATCGA